GGCTGCAGGGGCTCAGATGGGAAGGTGGCTCTGGGGAGCAGGAGGAGGGAGCTGCTGCACCAGGATGGGGCTGTGTGCTCAAGGTGTGCAGCTCCGTATTTGTGTTTTGGAGAGTTTCACACCTTTTGAGCTAATATTTTAAAAGCACTTGCTTGGCTTGCAAACAAGGAGACCCTTCTTTGACACAACCTGAGTCTGACTAAATGTCTTTGGCAAAGCTGGACTCGACAGGACATGAGCTCTGTGCATCAAATCTGAGAGTCCATGATGGCATTTTTAATGTAAGAATCTCTGTGTAACATAGCAGCAGCAGGCAGGAACTCTCCTTCATTCTTTTTTTTTTTCCCCTCTTCTGATTCTCACAGGAGAGTGAAGACCTGGATTGGAACTTACTGAAACCAGATATTTATGCAACCATAATGGATTTCTTTGCCTCTGGCTTACCTGTAGTTACTGATGAGGCACCTAGGACAGACACAGGTAAATCAAATCTTCAGGGAGAGGCCAAGGTCTGCCTTTGGCTTTAGCTTTTGTGACATCCAGAAGAGCCTCCACTTCTCCCTCAGAAAAACATTCAGAAGAATTCAAATTTAAAACCTCTTAAGATGAGCACAGGCAGGAATTTGCAGCTTGGAATTTTCTCAGTGTTCTGACTTGCACATTTTTCTTTTCCCAAGCTGCTTCAGAAGAAGATGATGAAGTTGTACTGATGATTAAGGAACTGCTGGATACAAGAATCAGGTGAAAAGAGAACATTGCTGCTGGCTGAGCGAGTTAGTCTTGGGGTTTGGGTTTATTTAGGGAACTGTGTTTTCCTTTGGGAGTGTGATTTCATGGTTCAGTGTGTGATGTGGAGGGGTTCAAGTGCAGAGCTGGGAATGCTGTTCAGATGAAAACTCTCTCTGGTTTTCATGTTGAAGCTCCTGTGTCCTTTTTGCTGAGTGACTTCAGAGCAGGGCTTGGACAGGTCCCTGGTTTAACCAGGCTGCTTTAGGGGTGGGAACAGCACAGGCTTTCCTTTTACAGACACCTTTTTCTCTCTCTGTATTATAATTGTATTCTGTATATAACTGGATTGTAATTGTTCTTTTCCCTCTCCATTAAATATTCCAAAGTAGTTTATACTCCAAAGGAAGATTTCCTGGTGGGAAATCCTGGCCCTCAGTGGATTTTGGCCTTGCACTCTGTTGTGATTTTATTGGTGCTTCAACACATGAATTTAGAAACTGGTGGTAACACATGAAGTCTCAGGAGTGGCTGTGGATCGTGTTGTTTACCTGAAGAGTATTTTTGTGCTCATTAATTTCCTTCCAAAGTGAACCAAAAGCAAAAAGCAACTTGACATTTGAGGTGCAGGGGGAGGTGTCTGGTGTGTTTGTGATATCTGATGGTGACATCTTCCCCAGCTCACAAGCTGCAGGAACCAGAAACTTGACACTTTTTTTATTTTTTTTTTAAGATGCTGCATTTAAAGTGATATCACGTGATTAAAAATTTTGTTTATCTCAGAGCAGACACATGGTGCTGCTTAATTTTCCTGAAAAAGCAAGAAAAGTAGAAGTAAGCTGGAACATCTTTCCCAGACATTTGTACTAAGTGTTGAAACCAGAAGCCAAGAACCACGTTGTATAAAGCTGTGACAGTAATGTTCAAGCTGCTGCTGGGTTCTTTAAGCTCCCTGGGGTGTGTGAGTCCTTGATTTCCCAGGGGCCTTTTATCATTTCTTTTTGTAATTTTTGTAATTTTTTTTTTGTAATTTTTGAGTTTCTGCCCATAATTCTGGTTTTCCCACTTTTTAATTTCCTTCATTTCCTCCCCCTGAAGCCATCAGTGCTGTTGATGAGGATATCAGTGGTGGTGTATCTTCATTTTATAGCAGGGTGTTCTCAGATCTGTAAGCCAGGCTACACATAGAGCATTTATTGTCCAGCAAATCTAAATTAAACACAGAGAAGCTGTCAGAAGGTGCAGGATGGAGGGAGTGTACATCTGAAAGGTCCTGTAGTGTGTCAAAAACTCAATTCAAGTAAGAAAAGTGGAATATTAAATCATGATCTTTGGCTTTCTGGAATGGAGATAATTTGCTGTGGTGAGTTTATAAATGTGTCAGGTTGGCAGATTTTTCTGTTAGCACTGTAGTTCTCAGAGGGTTATTTTGGAAATCAGTATAAAGAGCTTCTGTTAGAGTAACTTGATGGTTTTAACTTGGTCTGGAAAAATGTTGCTATGGGGACAGAGCTACAATGCTGGGCATTTGTGGCTGGCAGAGGGAGAGCAGGCTGCAGAAATGCTCGTGGCACTGCAGTGAGCTTATCAGGAGCTGCTTCCTTCACCCCTGAGCAGGATTAAGCTTTTATATTTGGAGCTATTTTCTATCCTTGGGTGAATTGTGGAGAACTGCATATTTATTTATGAGAGCAGGGCTTCTTATCACAGGTGGCAGCTGTGCTGCATGCCGTGGGGGGACACACCCCTGCTGAACTGGCAGTACCTGAGGCAATGATTGCATGGGAGCTTTCTGTGCAGGCTGGGCTCTGCTCCAGGGTGCTCACACTCTGCCCTAAAAGTTCAGTGATTCCTTCATACACTGCTGCATTCATCACAAAAAGTGTTTTGCCTACTGTCCCACGGAAAGTTTCTGTGTTAGACAGTCCAGCACAGCAGGAGTTGTTGGAAATGGGAACCAGGTGGTTGTAGAGAAATAGTGACTGAATCCCTCTGTCTTGACAGTTTTTGTGGGTGTAAATATTGCTTTACTGAGGGTTTCTGGAGGGATCCACGTCTCAGTCTGTGAGGTTTAAGTTGAATATTGTGTTCCATCAGGCCCACAGTGCAAGAGGATGGTGGGGATGTTATTTACAAAGGCTTTGAAGATGGGATCGTGCAGCTGAAGCTGCAGGGGTCGTGCACCAGCTGCCCCAGCTCCATCATCACCCTCAAGAACGGGATACAGAACATGCTGCAGTTCTACATCCCTGAGGTGGAAGGTGTTGAACAGGTGGGTCGAGGAGAGGTCACAGAGGTTTTCTTTTCAGGAAAAGGAGCTCTTTGTCTCTTTCCAGCAGGAACAGGCTGGCTGTTAGGGAAAGCCAGGGATGTATAGATGCAGGATTTCCAAGTCAGCAGCTGTATCTTGGCAAAGACAGAGAACTCTGCAGGCTCCTGTAGCAGCCCATGGGCTGGGACTGCACGGCTGGGGAGCAGCCCTGGCTGTGGTGGGTGCCAGGCTGGCCTGAGCAGTGGCTCTGGGGCAGCAGGGGAGGCAGGGGACCCTCGCTGGACCCCCCACACCCCTCCTCTGCTGAGGAGCCCAGAGCTGGACACACTCGTTTGCTGATACCTTTGTGCTTTGGTGACTTGATGTGATAAAAAGCAGTGAGCTTTGTCCCCTGAAATGCAGATTCTTTGGCATTCTCATGAAGTACCTGATCTCTGGAGCGATTGTTTTTGTGGCCTTTGTGGTAACTTGACCAGCTCCTATAATTAAAACTCATTTCTTCCTGGCATTTTGGATTGCCAGTTTTTCTTACCTTCCTCCCGAGCCCGTGGTTGTTCAGTGGTGTGGAATAACTGCTGTTCTCCTTGGGCCCAGCAGGGATTTAATGTAATAAATCCTGCAGGACTGAGAGCTTAAACTGTTTATCTAAACTACTTCTGGATTTGATTTCAGGTTGTTGACGATGATGATGACGTGGAGAAAGAAGCAAATTCTACTTGAGCTTCGTCATCTGTGGCCAAATAACATTTACCTCCTGGTGTATGTAAACCATCTCTGTGCTGAGGAGCAAACAAATCTGCCTTGTCAGAAAAACAGCTGTACTTACTGTGAGAATGTACCATCAGTTCAAGCAGTTCAGCCACTAATTTATTAAATGCACTGCATTACAAAAAAATTATTTTGCTCCACTTTATGCTATGTCTTTAGAAAGAAATAGTGGGCTCAGAAAACTGTGATGTGTTTATGGATTGTTTTTTCATACAGAAACTTCACTACTGAAAAGAGAGAAGGCAGAAGTGCCTTGGCTTTTTTGTGAAACAGCAAATTAAATGTTTATTCCCCCAACTTGTGGGACTGACAGGAGTCTCTGCCCTTACTCTGTAAATGGGAGCACCAGGAATGTTAATTTTATCAAGTCTTGTTAAAAAGCTGCTGATTCCTATCAGATTTTTGTGTGTGAAAGATAACTTATCAACTGTTCATTTTGGAGGATGTAACACTGCTGTGGCTTATGGAAAGTTCCCTCCTTGCTCATTAACACTGCAAACCATAGCAACAGAAACAAAAAAATGTTTGTTATAAAAATCATATCTTCTAAAGTAAACGTTAGAAAAGAATGATCCTTATCAGCTTCAGTAAGTAGAGAGACTAATTAGCCCATTTAGCAGTAAAATCATTCAGCCAGCATTAGTGCTGTGTTTAAACATGCAGCAGCTGATTTCTGGGTGTAATTCAGCAGCAGGAGGAAGGTGCAGTGCTGGAGGGCACGGTTTGCCTGGGCAGGGTGGCAGAGGGAAGCAGGGACTCTGTGTTTGCTCCTGCCACATCCTGTTTGCTCTCCGGCCTCTGCAGGGGGATGTGGCAGGGCAGGGCTCCTTCCAGTCCTGCACGCCATGGGAGAGAAGTGCTTGCTGTTGACACTGAAATACATAAATGGGGCTTTGTGTTTACTTCTGTTGGTAGGAATGATTTCTTCCTGGTGCCTGGCTTTGGCAGATGGCTTTGTGACCAAGAATTCTGTTCCTTCTTTGTGGTCCTCATTTGGATTATGACTGGCTTGACAGCCTTCGGTGTGTTCCCTTTCCATCCCTTGCCAGTGTAATTATTCCAATGATCCCTAAACAGGATCAGTTCAGCTGGGGGAGAATCTCCTCTGTAGCACCACATCAGCATGTGGTAGCCATAAACTTTGTATTACTTGATAGAAATTTGAAAATTAATATTTTAGCTAAATACTTCTTCAGCTTTCACAGAGATTAATAACCCACGGTTGTTTGAGTTACCCTCTCAGGATCTGGACACCGGTGTGAAATCACCATGTTTCCTTTTACTCTCTGATGAATTACACGGTGTCTAATTGTACCAGAGTACTGATGACCAAATTCCTGCTGCAGGGCAGGGAAGGAATGCCCGGGCCAGGGTGAGCTGTGAGGGGAGCAGCGGTGCTGTGCCTGCCTGCAGGGTGTGTGTTCCTGCCCCTCACACCTTCCCAGGGCTCGCTGCTTTCCTGCACACCTGGAAAATCCCCGCTGGAAATCAGAGCTTGAAGTCAGCCCAGAAGTGAGGAGGAGACGAAGGGGACGAGGAGAGCCCTGCAGTCCCGGGGTACCTGCCCTGCCTTGTCCCGGTGTGTCTTTGCCCTGGCACAAAGGCTGCAGGTTTCTCGTGTTCCCAAGATCCGCTGGCCTCCTCTCCGCTGTGTTCAGCCAGCAGCAAGTTCAAAATGTGCCTCATCCCAGCTCTTCTATGTGTCCTGATGTTGTGGGTTGTTTTCTGCGCTGTTAAAGGAAATATTTCTCCATTGACTTTTTAGTGTAATATGAAATTGAATGAATGGCATTTTTCTTAAGCCATTTGTAGCCTTAGGCTTTTAGTCAGTTTCCAAGCCGGCTTTGATGGGGTGGCCGCAGCCAGACAGCATCACTGAGCTCTCCAGCAGCACGGATGTCATGCCTCGGTCTGTAACGCCCGTCCCAGTTCGCTTTGCAGATTCATCTTAATGGTTTCCTTCTCTTGTTTCTGAATGGGAGCTGTTGTAGAAGAGGCAGAGTAAGAAAGCAGAGGCCGTGTCACGGGGCTCCGGGAGCCGCTTGTTCTCTGCCCCAGCCCCGAGCAGCCTCGGGCTCATCACCCGCTGCTGCGGGAAGGCCTGGGATCATCCCCTGGCTGCTGCTCCTGCCTGGCACTGGCAATTACCGCGGGGGAAACACCTCCCCTCCGCCGTCTGCGGCTGGGAATTACCGGCAAGGCTCTGGGAACGGGGATACCCCGCTTTGAGGCGGAATTACCGGCAAGGCTCTGGGAACGGGCTCCCCCCCCGGGCCGGGAATCAGCGGGCCGCTCAGGAAGCGGGCCCACCCCGGTATCCCGGGGGTGTTTCCGCCGCTCGCTGCCCGTCCCCCGCTCCCTTTACCGGCCCGGCCTCCCCGGCCGGGGCTCTCCCTGGGGTCACCTCACGGGGCCGCCCGGCTCCGCCGCCCCGGGAAACGCCTCTGC